TGAAAATCGTTCTTAAATACTCGGACGTTTTGATCATTTTTAAGTTCTTATTCGTCTTTGTTCACAGCTATTTTAATATTGTACATTTAAAAAGTACATTATCAATTTATATAACAGACCAAATAAATAAATCAATTCTTATTTATTTTTCACCTTCTTATTTAACATAATACAAAATAACACTTTTACAAAATAATTTATATAAAGAGCACCAAATAATAATAGTACATTCAGTTTTATAATATTTTTTGTATAATTTCTAGTTTTAATTTTTTAAAACTTGTTTTTTGATTATTCATTCAATCTTTAATTGTTAAAGTTTATTCCCGTTTTTCAGTTTGTTTAATACTAAAATCATTAGCGTAGGACCATTTTATCATGGTTTTTATTTATAATCATTAGTAATATTATACAGTGTATAATTTATAATACAACACAAAAATAAAAATTCAATTAACTATTTTGATGTAGTCAGAAGAGTAAATATTTTTTCAGATCTTAAATGAACAGGAATATCATTAAAGTCCAATTTATAACATCTGTAAAAACAACTTCTTCCTATTTCAGAAACACTTTTTGGTATTTCAATGTGACTTAAATTTTCACATCCTTCAAAACAGTTTTCTCCAATAGACACCACATTTTGCGGAATAGTAATGTCGCTCAACTTACAACAATATTGGAAACAGTAATTTTCAAGTGTTGTAATATTTAATGGCAAATTGATAGAACTAATATTACAGGAACTAAAACAAAACATTCCAATCGATGTGACACTTTCTGGTATAACAACGTCTTCCAATCTTGTACAGGAACTAAAACAGCCGTTGCTAATCGACTTTACACTTTCTGGTATAACAACGTCTTCCAATTTTATACAGGAACTAAAACAGCTGTTGCCAATCGACTTTACACTCGATGGTATTGTTATTCCCGTCAATTTATTGCAACCATAAAAACAATAATCATGAAGTGCGGTGATATGTTCTGGCACTTTTATACCAATTAATTCTGAGATGCAATTAAATTTTATGTTATTGATTACTTTGACAGTCGAATAAAGATAAATTTGAAACAATTCATTGACTCCCCATATAACTCTATACCCAGTAACTCTTTCAGAATCGTCCATATATTTAAAGATTGTAAACAGAGGAGGTGTTGTTATTTTACTCAAAGAAGCGTCAAAACACATCCAACCAACTTCTTTAACAAAGTGTGGTATTACAATTTCGTTTAATTTGAAACATTGTTTGAAACAGCGATCGCCAATTTTAGTGACACTTTCTGGTAGTGACACTTCTCTTAAATTGGTGCAATTTTCAAAACACATACTTTCAATGGAAATCACTTGACTTGGTATTTCAAAACTTGTTAAAGACCTACAATGATTGAAACAACACTCGGGAAGTGTTGTAATGTTTTGAGGTAAAACGATTTTGGTTAAACTTGAACACATATCAAAACAACCTTTTTTAATCACTTGAACTGTGTTTGGAATAATTACTTGTTTCAAATTATAACACCCTGTAAAACAATAATCTTCTATTGATATTACACCACTTGGTATATGAAAAGTGGTTAAATTGGTTGCCCCACGATAACAGTAATCTCCAATGGATGTGATATTAATTGACTTTGGTATTTCACCAAACAGTTCTAAATCATTTTCAGTAAATGTCACGTTTTTGAATACAAAATTTTTGTTGTTCATGGAAACTGTTTGACAGTCGACATTAAACCACACAACTACTCTGAATAGTTTCTTTTTACAAAATAAAGATTTAAAAACATGTATTAGACCTAAATCATCATGATCTTTAATAACATTTCCAAAATTTTCATCTTCTCTAGACCACAAATGAAGTGTTTCTATATTTAGAAAATAACTTATATTTTTTTTGTTTAGTGGAATTGGATTAAAATGAAACTTCATCATATTGTCTTTAAACTTCTTACAGACCATTTCAATATTGATAAAATCATGTATTGATAAAAAGTACTTTGAGACAACCATTATATGATATCCATCAAGCTGTATCATTAGTTTTGTTAATGATGATTATTATTTAAAATATAAAGTTGTATTTTAAATTATGAAAATAGTCGTTATTTTGACGAAGAAGCTTTCAATAAAAAACTATAAAATAACTATAATCTGTAGTTCTAAAGTCTTTACTGTTTTATTTTTGGAACTCTTTGATTTTTTTTATTTTCAATTTAGAGTCAATGTTGTATTAGTATTTAAAAAAATAATACTGTCCAACCTTGACATTTTGCAAACTTCAACAGTTTCAAAGATCTGTTTGGTTGTTAGAAGTTTTTTTTTTGGAAAATGCAAAGTAAAAGAAAGTTGGTTTATTTGCAATTAAGTTAAAATAAATAAAATATTGTATGTTTGGCTTTTACGTTTTAATAACACACAAACAAAATAAAAAAACACATAAATAATTACTTATGATTATCAACAAAAATGAAATCACAATTTTTAACTCAATAATACAAATTATGACGAATCTCAAAATGTTTGATTTGGAAAATGTTGAGGTTTGATTGTAATAAAAAACAAATAAAATATATCAAATTGTTTTAAACACATTGTACTCTTTTCTTGTAAATTCGCCATTTATGTATTGAAGTAACACAGGACCTTTAATTGGAATACTTAATTCGTTTACGAATGTTGCATTTACGTAAGTTGTGGTTTCGTCCTTAACAACACCAAAACAGTTATGTGTATGTCCGAAACAGACCAACTTTGGTTTATATTTAGTGATAAATGACAATATTTGGTGTGATCCACCATGATATGTTGGTGGTGAGAATGGCGCAACTGACATCATATCCATTATATTATAAGGTGGTTGATGTGATAAAAATACAAATGTTTTTGTTGAATCGAGTTGAAAAGAATCGTCGCCAGCAAAGTTCCATTTTGCTCCATAAAATACAAAGTTGTCAATAGTCACACTTTGATTGATTAATAAAATAGCTTCTGGACATTCTTCAGATACCCACTTTGATATCTGTTCTGTGCTTTTTGTGATTTTAAGTTCGTATACCC